GTGTGTGTGTGTGTGTGTGTTTTTCAGATGAAGAGATAGACAGGTTTTGAGGGTGTGAATAGCTCAAAGTGAATTTCTTGCAAGTACTTTAGAAGTGTTGGTGCAATGACAGGAAGGTGGGACTGTGGGGAAGAGGATGTGGAGGAAACGAGATGAAGAAGAAGCAAAAAAGAGAGCGCAGAGTTGTTCTCAGGGTAGGATTTGATGGGTAGATACAGAAACACTCTCTTCTCTAATGGATTACACACATGTACAAACAGGTACTTCAACATCACAGAATTTACTCTCAAGTACACTTTTACCAGCTCTTATCTTAGGAAATGATGTTGAAAAGTGTTTAGAGGATGTATATCCAGGCTCTTCAGCTGCAGCTTGCTTTATCAGTCTGTAGAAAACGCCACGCAAAAGTCTCCATCATTTTATTGTTTTGTTTTGCTCCACCAAGAATCTTCTGGGACGAGCGATCCCTCGTGTCTTTTCCCCAGCTCGTATCTGTGAAATCATTATCTCCGCGAGATAGCAAATCCGATTTGAATAATGGCCCTTATCTGATACATAATGCCACCTCTAATTCTGTATTCAACCTCTTCGCAACATGTTTTTAACACGCATGGTCACCACATCTGCGGACCACATGCAGCAATCACAGACGCCTCGCCTACAGGGTGTCACGCTTTTTAATGGGTTAATTTGCAAAGTTACAAACATGAAGCGGTGTCTTGAACTGCAGGTGGGCATAGATAAGGCTGAGATGGAAGGGTATTGGGCCTTTGAAATTTGCAAAGGTTCGAGATATCACGTAGAAATCAGCTTCATGTGCGCAAATGTGTGTTGTGAAAACTGCTTTAAAAGGAAAATTCGAGTTTACTCATTTCATTGCGCAAGCGTTCTACCTGTTGTGAGAAAACTTGAATTGCTGAAATTAGAGGAGCAGCCTGACAACAATATTAAGCTGCATCATCAGGCAGTTTCCAAACAAGCATCGGTTTAAGTGTACTTTAAATGTGTGCAGCAATCCCTCATTGCACTGCAAAGGTGTGCGTGTTCATAACTACAGTGAGCATAGTCGGTCAAAATTAAAACCCTGCCTCCTCAATTGTGTTTGGTTATTATGTCACTGGAAGGAAATGTATGTAAGAATTTGCTCATATTACAACATATTAGCCTTCCATTTAATAGCCATGTATTTGAGAGGTACTAATCTCCTCTTGTATTCCACTAGAGAGCAAATAAAGCTGCTTTCAGACATGCACTAGACTATACGGATATTCTCCTGAAGTTGTCCAAAGGGAGGGTCTGAGAGTACGCCAACGTCTGAGTCCCTTGATCCGGACTTTACCTGTCAGTGAGATCTCCAGAGAATGTCAGGGAGAGCGTGTGAGATTATCAGGAATTTACCAGGAGCACATGTACGGTGATGACGTTTCTGACATTCGATGCAAAGAATACAAATACCTCTGCATGAAAAAGGATGATGTAGAAGATACTGAAGGAGGTGTCAACTTGGGGAGATGGGCCCACACCAGGGTCACTTTTTCCTCCTGTCTACTCTACATAGACGCTGTCCCTCACCTAAAACCTCTATTTCTGTTGTTGTGAACGTGTCAGATCTGGACAATATCCTGCTGCGTTCTTCACATGTGTCCAGATAATGTCTCTATTGTCCATAATGTTGCCACTGTTCACATTAAACTGGTGAACTTTGACCAAGGCTTTGTCTTTTCCAGTTTCACATAGGCCCCTTCAGTTGCAGCAAACTTAACTGACCCTTGCATGTCCTCCTCCTCCATCAGGACAAGTCAACCCCAGAGGACCAGAGCTCCTGGGACAGCTTCAAGACCATGACCCCCGAGCTGTCCATCGTGCCTGGGGAGCAGAAGGACCGAATGGAGCTGCACAATAAGAACTGGGACTCCTCTTCTGCCAACACACCCGACTCGTCTGAGGGAGACTTCCAGACTGAAGTGTGAAGACGCACAGATGTACACACACTTGAAAACAAACACTCTTATTCCGAGATATGGTACAGATGCACACAGGGACACTGAACCTCTGAGATGCTATACATAAGTACATGATTCACACACACATACACACACACACACACACACACACACACACACACACACTGCTCCCCGTCTCCTGCAACGTGCACTGTCGGATCCCAAAACTGTTTTTGTTTACTTCTGCAGTGGACAGACATGGAAAGAAGACTGTTCTATACTATATTTTCGCAAAGACTATTGAAAAGAAAGAACAGAGGCTTGACACGTCTGTGGTTGAGGAAAACATTTTTAAACGAACTTCAGAAAAAAAACTGTGAAAAACCTATTTCTGAGAAAAATTGTCTTGATTTTATTCTGGAGAAAAAAAAAAGAAAAATCTCTGTCAATTGTTTGATGATTTGGGGGTATAAAAAAAAAAAGAAGAATATTTCTGCACCGTTCGGTTCTTTTTATAGCAAGGGGAAGAAAATCTCACTGAGGTTTCTCACACTGGTAGCCCCCCTAGGCACCCTGCTTCGTTTATTTCCTGTTCCCTTCTAATGGGTGGAGACAGCATTCAATCTCCCAGTCTTTCCCTTTTTTTCTTTTTGTTTTCATATTTTTTGATGGATAGGGGATGGGGGGCAGGTTAACGCTGCTCATTGATTTGCCATCCAGTTCAACAATCCCATCCATGCATTCCTCTCACATCCTCTTCGTCAACATTGTACCCCCCCCTTCCTTATTTGGTGTATTTTCTAAATATGTCCTCCCCTATGGTTTGAAACTTTTAATGAAAAAATAATACGATTGAAACAAATAACTACCAACTGAGTTGTGTTCTATGGTCTAACTTTTGAAGAATTTATTTTCAGACTGGTTTGTTTTTTTAAATTATTTTTCCCTAATTTCCTGTGAGAATAAACCCATGTGGAACTTAAAAAAATGATTTAGGACACACGCAGCACAAATATATGAGCTTGCTTTCTGGGGTAATGTGCGCCGCATGTTATCCAGCCATGAGGGAAAAGAAGGATAGTGATCGTCATGCAGATTCTCGCATCTTCCTGCTTTTTTTTTCTCCCCCACTGCTCGCAGATAAAGGCCTTTAAAGATTGCAGCATCTGAATCCATTTCAGCCATCACCAATCACAGTGATGCCAGAAAAGATGATATCACAGTCATTTTCAGCAGGAATTGAATCTGTGCTGGCACTGCGCAGCACTTCTCATACCTCAAAAACGTATCGCTTACAGTGAAGTATTGATCCGTTTAGCGGTTACCTCTTCTTTCTCCAAGATCGTAAAAGCAAGCACGACATCCTTTGCTTTCGTCTCACACCTCCTTCGCTTTGCTCTTTCTTTGTTGCTCATCCAGCCCACCTAGCGTTGCATTACATGGGAAGCATGAAATCTTGATGTTAGCAGTGGAGCCTGTTGTACAATACCTCGATCACATGGATCCCTCTCTCTGTGGTTGTATGTAGAGCTTGTGAGCACAGCAGCTGCAGAAAGAGAGAGCGGAATAGGACGACCGAGAGGGAGGTGACAAACTGAAGGGGGGAGAAAACATAACTGGTGGTGATTCTTCTTGCTTGATATTCTACATCCTCACTTCAGTCGCTACAAGAGGACAACCTGGTTCCTGCTGTCGCTGCATTAGCACATAAAGTCCTCCACACACTGAGAGAGAGTCAGAGTGCAGGATGAAAACAGTAAAACACCTGGAGATAAACAAAGTGCTGTACAAATTTTAGGTAAAGGCAAAGAAATATTAAGTAAAGTGATAAATAGTAAAGGCACAGTTAATTGAAAAGGCATGAATAAAAACAGAAAACAAAGTTAAATGAATGAATGATATAAATATAAATACTTAATATCAGATCAACTAAAGCCAGACAAACAAAAAAACGTGTTTTTCAGGGTAGTGCCAACCTATGTATGAATTTGACTCTGTTTTGCCCTGATGCCTTATTGGAAACATGATAATGTTAAGCAAGACAGAAGCTGCATACAAACAACTTTGATGCAAACTTTGGACAGGAAGAGCTGAGAGATGGATTAAATAAGTTATGGTTTGTTTTTTCAACAAGAGGTTGGACTATGTGTGTAAAACAGGATGGGACAGTTAATTTAGCAAGATATATAGTAATGATAGGAAAAGTTGATCATCTGACAATGGCCAATACTTTAAAAAAAGAGGACATTGTTCTGACATACAGTTGGACCCAAATGTCTTGAATGGATCAACACTTGAATGGGAAAGCAGTGATGGCGCCATGATGGTACCTCTGTACCTTTTCTTTCTTTGTTCAAAGCAGCCCCCATTAATCCTAGAGTCTGGAGAAAGACATGAGACAGTTTAAGACCGTGTAAGAATAAAATAAGTGCAAGAAAACATGTTCTCTAAGGAAAAAAAGATCCAAAAATATATAGCGGGAAAAGCTCGAGACAGGCAGATTTGCAGATGAAGACGTGGGGGTGCTCAGAACTGTAATTATCCGGGGATGGTGATTTGTCCTGACATTTTCCGATGCAGACCTCAAACCATCTGTTTAAAGATCCCTAATGTGGTAGTAGTGCGGCGCAGCGCAGATGGCGAGACAAGAGTGTAGCCCCTCTAACCTTTCAAGCTAATCAGCTGACGGGCAAACCTACAGCTCACCTCCCCTCAGAGGACGATACTGTAGGTTCGGCCCCAAGTTGCCAAGTTGTGGTCGCGTTCACTCGACCTTCTGCGAGGTTCTCAAACCAGCCGTACAGTGCATCAGCTGCATGGCCCCAGTCAAAGAAGTAGCAGAAGAAAACAGTCTCAGGTGAAAGAGATGCAGTCTCTACACTGACAAATTCTAAGGAAGGAAGGAAGTGTGAATTAACCGCAGTATTATTTTGTTGCATCATGGAGAATTTCCATATATTCATCTGTCCTCATTATGTTTTCAAGCTCAATGAGGACTGGATATTAACCTTTCATCTCCAACAACGGTAAGTGTGGTGCTGTTCGACTGATGGAGACAGAAATTCTTGTTTAAATGTGCCGCTACAGCCAAGGACCACCTGGCAACTTATTTTCGATGAGAAACTGTGATGGGATTAACATGTTGGTCGGAGTGTGTCAATCTTGTTTTTATTTTTATTTTAGAGGCCAAACTCAGTAATAAATACAAAACACTGAGGTCAATTTACAAGTGAAGTCCGTGTGGAAGGCAAATTTAAGAACATTCAGTGCTCACCTTCACCACCACTCTTCTGCCTCCGATGCTTAGATGTAAACCGACTTGCTCCAGCCATCCACGACTCCAGTGATTTATTATTGAAAAACCCTCCCTTTCCTTCTCTCCCTCATTTTTGTTCTTTTTATACATAAGATTGTACAAAGTAGTCCTCTAATGTTTTCATAGTGTCTTTTTATATGAAAATAAATTTTCAAATTGATCGAAATGTCTCATATGTGCATACACGCTGCTTCAAGGGCGTCTGCGGATGAGCGAGACTATAGGCTCTTTCTTGGTTTGCAGTGTACTCGGAGTAATAGCATGACAAACTCTTACCCAGAAGCATTGAATCGTAACTGTGACCAATCAAGAGACCCTGCTGGTCTTTCTGAAAATGTGAGAGGAACAGTTCTGTGGGTTTGAAGTTATGTTGCATCGGAATAACCAAAGGGGGGAAATGTCAACTCAAAGTGATTATTTCTTGAAAATGTATGAACTTTGAGCGATATTTATGCAAATAACAATCCACTTACAAAGAGGGATTGCCCATCACAGCCTTTGTTATGTAAGACAACCTATAACCACAGTGGATGGGTTTAAATAGTCCAGTCAGTGATGCTGCAATGGAGCAACGAGGCACAGTGCGCATGCCTCAGTCACTCTACATTTGCCCTCCAAGGGGATTGTGGGTAATTACTGTAAGTGTGGATGAGTCTGCCCATGGAGCTGCCATCAGTCACCCTGGAGAAAGGCCACCAACTGGAACTTTCTCGAGGGAGTGAGAGGGATGAGGGAGAGGTCAGAGGAGGAAGAAAATAGAGAGGCCAAAGCCCCGAGAATGAAATGCATGGTGACAGACTAAAAGCAGGGAAGGGACTTTAACATTACCTCCGGCTGCAGAGTCACTGTGATTAGAGGGCCTCTCGGTTATTTTTCCTCTGGGTTCATAGGTAGTTAAGTTGTGGCACTGGTGTGTCACATATGACCCTAGGTGACGAATAACACAGGGAGACAGTGAAAAGTGGACAGACGTGAGTTGGAGTGGGGATATATAACAAATTTCAACTCGAAGCCGTGTCCACCAGGAACTTCCTGTCAGCGCTGCCTTTTGCTTGATATTTACCACGAAGACAGGACATGCTACTGCGTGTTGCTGACAGCCCGGGGAGATTGGTGTGTCTTAGTGCTCAGAACAACAAGTCTTGAAAGTTTAATATAGCCGAGTAACAACAACAGAGTAACGCAAATAGTTCCTGTGTGTGGTTTGGAGTGAGACACAGCAGGAACAAGAAGCACTACGCTTTTCATGCATAGTTAAACTAATAATCAGCAGGACTAACTTTGCTGTCTGTGCTTGTTTTGCTCCTGCATTGTGAAGAAAAGCTGTGGACTTGAAGGGAACTTGGTGGAACTAGGGTTTATACTGCTTGCATGTGTATGTGATGTACCCACTAATAGGGATATTGTTTTTTCCAAAAATTAAGTTTGAACTAATTTAATGTGTCACACAATTGGTTCCAATATGTTCTAATACAACAATGTGACATGACAGACTAACTTTATGCGTCTACAGGGAAAACTACTTCAGACAATCTGATTTGAACTGTACACTTAGAATATATTTTTAATATTAACTTTTCCACCCACATTCTAATGAATGTTTGAATTTCTAATAAAAGGTGACAGCACTTCATCCTAATAGGCTGATCTGGACATGGTTAGGAACAGAAGAGATATGAGTGTGCACGCGAGGAAGCTGTCTCTGCATCTCGCTTCACACTGATCAAAAATAGGTGGCAGTAGCGAGCAAAGAAGTGTGACGACATTGCTAGCGAGATAAGAAGGAATGTACCATGAAGACAGGCTGATATTTTCGATTTCTTCTGAAGCAGTCCATGTTTTTTTTTGTCTTGATAATTTTAACTAAAATGTCAGTTACCACATAACTAATTAAATCGGCAACTAAAGACACAGTATTGTATAGGTACCCTGCTTTCATTCTCTAAATTTATAAAATGCAGCATTATACATAAAATAACATAGCATTTTTAGTGCATTTTATCAAAAAAGTATTAAACTGTAAATTATATTTACAGTAACCAGGCTGTAGAAAAAACTGCTGCCAGTTTAATAAACTAATGTGTTGTATCACACTTCATAGTATTAATACTGTAACTTACTGTAGAGTTCATTACAATAGAACTTTGAAATTACTTGAGTTATTATTTGAATGACAAAGAAAACGTGCATTAAACTACAGTAAGTAATTGTAGTGCACATCTGTGTACAATATCCCTTCAATATGTATTTTTTTACTTCACGATGAACAGAAGTTCCATTCAAATCATTAACTATGTTTTTTGGTGAGAACAGGTTACCTTTGGGTAATCATAAAAGTGAACAGGGAGACACTTAGGCCCTGGAAACTGAATGAAATGCACCTTATGGACCAGGCCTCCAGGTTTTTTAAGATATTGAGAGGAAAGGGGAGGTTGAGAGGAACTGAAATAGACAAGCAAAGTAAAAAAAAACAAGCAAAACAAATACTACAGGGAGGTAAAACAAAGAACATCCTCGAACAATGATAACTTTGGACAAAGTGACAGTCAGTGATAACTTGGGAATACTGTATGCATCAACCTGTGAGTGGAATTACATGTCTTACTTTGACACTGCAGCAAGGTTAAAGTGCGCTGGGAAGAGGTCTTAGTCCTGAGTACAAATCCATTGCTCTAATGGTTGGAGCATGTCTCGCCGTCCCTCCCCGGCGGCAGACAGATGGCTTTGTCTAACACTCTCTGGAGCCCTGCTCCTCAGAGGATGACACAGAAAAAAGGAGCAGATTGACGGATTAGAAAGGAGGATGGAGTGGACAAGGCCTGTGGAGGCTGGTAACAGGAGTGCTGCAGTTCTGTGAAGTTTTTACTTGAGGATATGATGCAAAGTGGATGATCACAACGTAAACCCAGTCATGTAAAACGTCTAAACCAAATTAAAGCCATACACAACCATTTTTGGACAATACCACAGGCGTCTCTTTTTCTCGTGTTTATCTAAACTGCAAATTCTCATCTGCAATATGGATCACATCCCCGAATGCTTTGGGATGCCAGTATTTCAGTTTTGGCCACAGTTCTTTGGCACTGATGGCGCAGAAAGACTTCTCCGTTGAGACTGCCTCTCCACAATCGCAGTAGATGGCTGTCCATATGAAACGCCCTCACTTGCCCTCATCCAAATTTTGGCTGTGCTAATCCATCGAGTGTCTCAGTCCTCATCATACAGGATGGGATAAAGCACAAGTGGTCATCAACGCTTTGAGGGAGATTTATTCTGAGCTGACGTGAAGGCCTGGCCACAAAGCACTCTTCACATATCATGGCAACCTACATTTACTCAGAATGAATTGCCTCTTCTCACTGCCAAGGGCTTCTTGAAACACTGGTATAATTTAGTGGTAGGCTTAGGCTAATGCAGTTCCTCTCACATGGTAAAAGACCCCGAAATAATATGACTGGGACTCATTAGATGTTAAACAGCGACAAAGCCCCCTCATGACTTACCGGAATACAAGAAAACCCAAGAAAGAAAAGAAAAGAACAGTGGAGAAAACTGAACTGCCGACTTACTGTTCATAAGAGCAGAGGTGCAGGAGATACACTAACAGGGACAGGGAGGTGCAGAGTCGGAATGTGCCCATACTGCTCAACGAGGAACAGGCACCACAGGTGGTTGCCTGAGGTGCAGAATGTCACACCATTATCATAATAATCATTCATGGATTCAGTAACAATTATCAGCAAGAATATCTTTTTTAATTACAATGATAAACATGTTGCACCCCCTGAACTCTGCCAGCCCATCCAAAAAATTCACTCAACCCATGTGAGAAGACAGCGGGAAACTATCAGCAGGATTCATGGGCAGAGAGTGGCCGTGTTGACGATGTTTCTAAAACATGATTGATGCAAAACTGAAAAAAACCCCACAAGATTACAAATATTTCAGGATGAAAAAGACAAGCTAAACACATCATGTCAATAGATAAATACAAAATATGGACGTGCTGGAAACAAAAATATGAGATTGACACGTCATGTTCTGCCTCCTGCATGATCTATCTCTTGTTGTTGTGAGCGCGTTTTGCCTGGACAATCTCTCTATGTTCATATGAGAAACTTGTCTGGATCCAATTTTTGGAGTTCATGTCTGAACACACCTTCAATCACATGTTGATAACATGATGGAAAAACTCTGCAGATTCTCATCATCTCTTATTTGTCCTGCACTGAACTGTGTAATGTGCACAAAGTGGGGGGGGGGGGGGGGGGGGTGATGATGATGGATCATTCAGCACAAATCTGGGAGGTGAAAGCTGACTGATGAGAAAAGCTACATAGAATTGTCCAGAGGGTTGTTTCTCTCCACTCCTCTCCTGTCCTCTCCTCTCAGGGGGTTCAGGGTGGCCTAAGATGAAAATGGAGAGAAGTTGAGGACAAAAACAAAGCCTGACGAAGAGGTAAGTTGTCTTGTATTAATTCATTTATTAAGTGACATCTGATCACAGTTTTACTGGCCCATGTTTATTCTCACTGCGTCTTTTCCATTGCTTCATTGTTAAAATTCTAAAATGTAAGACTATTAGATAAAAAAAACCTGCATTTTTATAGATAATATACAGTTCATAAGTAAATAACGAGTATAGCTGATGACCGTATACTCTGGCAAATTCATGTCATTGTTGCATTTGCAAAGATGCAAACAGAAGGAAGACTAATTCCTGAAAAGCTCTGGACTAATACAGCGGCCACAAACCTTGCAGGTACTTTAAAGTCTAGTCCCACCACAGCTAATCTTTAGTTAGTTAGATGAGCAATTGGTTGATGATTGTGTTTCAAGTAAAAGAAAATTGAAATTGTTTTTTGAGACATGATGTATTTGCTGCAGTCCTTCTGGAACTCAGAGCACTCATTTTGGTTTCTTTTTATACGTGTGTGTGTGTGTGTGTGTGTGTGTGTGTGTGATGCTGCAGTCATAAATGCTGAGGATATCTTCCGATGTCTCCTTTATCTCTCTCCCTCTTTCTTTGTATTCAAGTATCTGCACAGCTGTCCCTCTTCC